AAACCTGTGTTTCAATGATCATTTATTGCCGTGGTCATCCACATAATAACAAACCGCAATAAACAGAGATTCGATGTTTCCGTTTGTTGTTGAATTCTTGTTCGTCGCTCTCCGAAGATTGTGAGCAATTTGAATAGGGATAACAGTTAATTAACTCCATTGAAAAGAAAAACATAAACATAAACAAACGAGAACACCGAGTCTCTGTTTATCATGGGTGGCAGTCATGTGTTCGGTTAACGATTTACTATTGGAAATCTCTTGGATTATTCCATTTGATTCAATCAGAGTTATGAATGAGTATCGACTCTCGAAAACTGTTGAAGAGTCGCAAAAATCAAGCACCCCACATGTGAGAGGCAAGGGGACTCACAAAAATCAAGCACCTCGAAGGGAACAGAGAACTACCACGTCCACGTCGTTGTTCCTGGGTAGCGCTAAGAGTAGTTCATCAATGACTTTGATGGTCCATAACTCGGACCCCAGTGGGCGGATTGTGGACCACAACCAATGTTTCGTAAAGGGCTTGAAACCAGCTTTCTCATCCCATGGTGAAAAACTAGGGGTTCCATTTAAAAAAACCATCGTGACCCCTGAATGACCTTCAAAATGACCTTCCAAGGATTTTTCAAGGTCAGTACCATACTTCCCCCGTGTAACCCTAAACTTTTCATACGAAACATTTTTCTCTATCCCTACAAGTTTTCGAGATATTTGACTGGATCACTTCAGATGGTCCACCCTGTATGTTATATGTTGCAAGAAATTATATATTCGTTTTGCAATTGGCGTAATTTAAAGATTTGATTTCATTTCTTTTTTAATACATGCATACTTACTACTGAGGGGTAATTTATAATAAAAAATTAACAACATTACCACTTGAACTATATTATTTATGTAACGGTTTTTTTTTAGTTTATGTAAAGTACAGTTTTTTTATGGAAGGTACATGCACACTTGGCGCACCTTTTTTTACCTTTTTTTAAAAAGGTAATTTTGTTAAGATAATATAATTACTCGATATCAATTCTTACAATATCTCGGTGGTATAATATCTCGATTGTTTAACAATTACATGTTTTGGCTTCTTGATCGAGCCATCCTCAGATTTACAAAATATGTAGTCGTAAAACGCAGCAAACGAGTGAATAGAAAAACCATGATATGGATATTTAAGTTAGCGATCTCCGATAGATTGTACGTCGATAGATAAAAATTGTTCCCAAACAGTTAGTAGACTGAATGTTGAAATTTCAATCAAACTGTGAAATAATATGAAAAATTGAGAACAATCTAAAGGATCAAATTTATTACTCTTAAATCGTCAATCAAAGTAAAACTCACCGAAGAAGTCACGATATATGATAATAACTTCATTTTCAGCAAAATTTGAGTAAAATTTCAGAAATTTTAAGAAAAATTTCCGAAAAGTTTCTACAGACGTTCAGAGAAATTTCAGTTCAATTTTAGCGATTTTTCAATATGTCAGCTGAAAAATTAACTTTCAGCGAAATTTCAATAAATTTTTAATCAACAATTTCGCTAAAATGTTCCAAACATGGAATAATTTCAGCGAAATATTTTTTTACCAGGGAACGCACTTCAAGTCGGAATACATAATCACAGTCTAATCATACAAAAGATAAAATAATAACACATTTCGTAAAGTTATACTTCTCAAATGCAGTGTTTCTATTGGAGAATCCAACGGAAATATTACGGAAACAGCTGAATATCAAATAAGTTCAACCTTAAGACCATCTTCGTCAAGACAACATTAAATCAAACAAGAATTCCTTAAGGAAGAACTTCTTCTCGAAGGTCGTCTTATTTCGTGACTATGAATTGTTACGCTCTCAAGACGATCATGATCGAATAAGACAGTCTTGACCAAAACAACCTTAAGCGCTGCCTTGAGCTTTGACTATGAATACCGGCCTTAGAGCACTATAATATAGGTATTTGCATCCGCCATTTTTAGTTCCTTCCCCACTCTTTGTTCTCTCTTCAATCTTCTGAGTTTAGCGGCGGAGTGGAGAGAGAGAGCAAGGGATTGAGGAAAGGAGCAAGAGAGTGAGAAAAGGATTAAAATACTGGCGGATGCGAATACTCATATTATAATGCCTTAGTTATCTGTGACGAGTTACGTGATAGACGCCATTTAATTCTTCACTAGGCTTCAATGGCTAGATCTTAGAAAATACATACTGGAAAGGCCATACTGTATTTAACCAATGTAATAAAAGTGTCTCCAACGTCTATCTATCCTTGTCTGAAAGCTTGTTTGCTGTGCGCTTGCGCGTGATTTATATGTAAGCTTTAAATGTATATGTTCTAAGGTGAGAGTATATACAACACTCTTAACCCTGTATAATAATAGTCGACACATGCGCATTACGGTGACGCATTCAGATAAGGACAGATGTTGGAGGCGTTGGAACCATCGACAACAGTGATGAGAATTTGGCTCCGCGCAACGTAGAGAATCAACCCCTCCACTTTTGCTCCACTAATCGACGCCGCTCTCTATCAGCCGAACGCGGCGTCAATTGGTGGAGTAAAAGTGGAGGGGCTGATTCTCTGCGTTGCGCGGGGCCAAATTCCTATCACTGATCGACAATCACTTATGGCCTTTGTCATATAGGGGAGAGTTGGCTAAGTCGTACCGATGGTTAAATCGTACCTCCATTGTATTTTCTAAGCAAAACATTTTTTTTTAAAGACAATGACAATGATGTGAAGCTGGTAATATGGGTTAAGAACTATCTTTTTTGTTTTGTCTTCGAGTCATCTGTTTACGAGTGACATTCAAAATTGATTTTGTTCTGTGTCTGATCTAAGTATTGATACAATTTACCTAAGGTGTTATCAGTACAAGGTGGGTAATTGAATTATAGTGTTCTTCATAGTTATAATCGATATTTAAACTCTTTTCGAGTATAGCATCAAATTAGCAAGATATTTGTAAGTTATGTTGTTATTGACAAATTTGTAAAAATAGAGGAAGTTCGGTAAATCGTACTTGTCGCTGGTCTTTATATTGTACCGGTACGATTTTCGTAAGTGACACGACCAATATGTGGAGGTTACTATTATGATAAAAAAGGACCTACAGTGGACTGGATTCAGTATGTCATGTACTCTAAGTGATTGCACGAAACCTGTAGTGACAGTCTTGACATTTATCAAAACTGTTTAAATAAGCGCTCAAGAAAGTGATTACTTATAAACTATTGAGTCTTTCTATTAAATTTTTCTATGGAGTCTTTCTGTTGAATCTTTTCTATTGTGACGGAAAAATCCGTAATTGATTTTATTTCAAAAATTTATTTTTTCCAAATGCCTGAGATTTTAATATTCTGAAATATAGTGCAATGATAGCTTAAATCAATTTAAGTATTGCTTTTTACTTTGTTTTCTTAAATGAGTTTAAAAAACACAGATCTAATTTCTGTTTTTATAATAGAAAAGTTTTTATTATACCTACTTAAATATGTATACTCAGTTCAAATTAAAAATAAATTTATTAATAAATGAGTTTTAAAATTAATTTTGTTTATTTTCCCAGTAAACAAACTGACGTTATTTACCATCATTTTGACGTTAAAGATGTTATTTTAATGTCAAAATGACAATAAGTAATGTCAGCTTGTTTGCTATATTAGAAGTACGATTTAGGAACCAGGTGGTACAATTTAACGACCCGGTCTCCAAATCGTACCGAAAGCTACTTTTTTTTAAAACCAAATTTAAATAATAATTTAATGTTTATTTTCGCAAAAGTATCGTTTTGTTTTATTGCCAATGAACCAAAGTTTAATATTAGTACAGAAATATTCTGATATCTTCAATACTTTTGTTTACAATTTTGTTCAAACGTTAGGAGATACGATATAGGCAACTTCCCCCTATGTTCTAAGGGCTAAACTCTGATATAGAGACTCTACCCAATACGCATCACTCTCGCACAGTTGGTCGCCCTTCACCACCGAGCATAGAGAAGGCTGACTCCAGTATGTATAGAGCTCACTGAACGCAATGCACACATTGCCTGATCTCATATATTAAAGAATCTGCATTTGTGTTAAGATTTATATTTCTGTAGAGAATGTAGTATACACTGTTAAAAAAGACATAAAATTTAATGTACTTTTAAGTTATAAAAATTAAATTAAATTTTATGACTACATTAAATTTTATGTATCTGTAACTGAAAAGTATATTTGTGTACATGTACATGAAATTCAGTGTACGTTTCATAAAATTTTACGAAGTTTAGTACATTTTTTATAAAATTTTATGTAGATTTGTATAAAATTTAATGTAAGTAAACGTTAAATTTAAGTTATTTGTAACTTCATTTTCATTGACAACACATTAAAATTTTTAACGTTTACTTACATTAAATTTTATACAAATCTACATAAAATTTAATAAAAAATGTACTAAACTTCGTAAAATTTTATGAAACGTACACTAAATTTCATGTACATGTACACAAATATACTTTTCAGTTACAGATACATAAAATTTAATGTAGTCATAAAATTTAATTTAATTTTTGTAACTTAAAAGTACATTAAATTTTATGTCTTTTTAACAGTGTAGATATTCGATAAATAAAATATTAACATTTTCATTATTCAATAAATCATCGTCAAATAAAATAAAAGATTATTATGTAAATTAGAAATGTAAGAATTGGAAAGAATAAGGACACTAGGAGTCAGGTGCAGAAGACGTCGCGCAAATAATACACCTATGAAGCATGAAACTTCTTTATTCACTAAAACGCGTTTTAGTGCCCTTATTCTTTCCAATTCTTTGATTTATAAGGAGTCTTGGTTAGTTTGATTTATTATACGGATTTAGAAATGTAATTATTAATTAATGGAATTATTAAAGAATTATTAATAGATTATCATATGAATTGACAAAATAACCGAGATAATTAAAAATAAAACGTTTAAATAATAAAATATACAATATATATTTACCATGTTTGTTACGTTTACTGCATAATTTGAACTTTTCGTATTCATCACGACAGATCTCGTATAGATTCTCTAAATCTCCACTTCTCTGTTCGGTTATCACCTCAAGCACTGCAATGAGAAGAATCAATATCAATTGTTCTTTATTTTTTTTACTTTAGGTATACACACTGGAGTCCCAGAAATCCCAGTGCAATTTACTAAATCGAGATTTTTTCGCGTTTTTGAATTTTTCTTTTTTTTAAACCTGTATATCTCAAAGCTCCTTAATTCTATTGACTTTTATACATTATGGATTAATTGTTCCTTAATCAATTCTCTTAATCGATTGAAAAGAAAATTAATTGAAATTTGTCCATTTTTACGCAAGTTACGGTAACAAATATGGATGGGGTCCTAGGGACGCGATTCCGTAACTGTCGGTAGGAGTGTAAAACAGTTACAGAATATAAGCCCAGCAGTGGAATTCTGTAACTCGTTATGCAATCGTTATGTGTTCATAATGACAGTTGCGCAGATATTTTATGTAATAAAAAAGTTGCGCAACTGTCGTTATGAACGGGGTGATCCCGATTGACCACGGCTCGATTGGACATCACCAATTACAGCGACCGGTGCTTAGGAGCTTTGTAGTCTCAAGCGCTGTGAGTGGCTCATGTCCAATTGAGCCGTGTCCAACTGGATGCCAATCGTTATGAACTCATAAGGACTGCATAAGTTACAGAACGAGTAATTACTGCATAAGTTACAGAACGAGTAATTACTGCATAAGTTACTGCACGAGTTACAGAATACAGGGGCACTATTCTGTAACTGTTTTACACGCCTACCGACAGTTACCGGTGTTGTTGCACAGCTTTTTCATCATATAAAATATTTACGCAACGACACCGACTACTGTCGGTAGGCGTGTAAAACAGTTACAGAATAGTGCCCCAGGGGCAGGGACCCGAGTGTGTATGTCAAGGAAAAAAGAGTGTCTATAACTAGGGTTAATTCACTGAACTATATATACACTGGAATGTGAGCATCTCCGTTGAGAAGCATAGAAAATCGTGGCCGCAATTGATCAGCCGCTATTTTGGCTAGATCAGATGCTTGAGCGAATCAGAAGCTTTCAGGTGCTCATGCGCACTTATGTTTAATGTTCTTTATAGTAAGACGCATATGGCATATGAGACGGTGATCGTCTGCCGACGTGATCGGACGTGTTATTGCGTCATCATTTTTGGAAAGTGTGACCGGCTTCAAACGCGCAATTGAGTTTATAGGCCTGTTCTTTTTGGCTGAACTTTTGCACCAGTTCATCTTTTTTCCTCTTCTTTCCTCCTAATGAGAAAAGCAAGAAAGATGAACTGGTGCAAAAGTTCAATCAAAAAGAACAGGCCTTATGTTACTCTTTTAGACTTTCGTACTTTGCATATTCTCACGCGAAAAAGAAGTAAGACACATAGTCAGCAAGATTATCGTGTGTGAGGTTATATTTGAAGGATTATAAAATCGCATGACTGTCTACAAAGCATCAACATGAAGTGCTGTGTGCCTGGGTATGGCCAGAGATGTAAAAAGAGCCTTTCATTTCATAGATAAAAATAATTGAAGTGACATTATTTTTGTTTATATACCATTCATGTCCATATAGATTTCCATACATCGATAGTACATCGATCGATACATTGATCGCAACGCGCGCGAGAACGCTTCTGATTCGCTCAAGTATCTGACCCAGCCAAAATGGCGGCTGATCAATTGTGGCCACGAATTTTCCTCGATGCCCATTCCAGTGTATATATAGTTCAGTGGGTTAATTACAGCCTTAATCGTATTACTTGCACTTTTGCACTTAGAATTGTCGTTTTCTCTTAAACAAAATGAACAAATTTTATGATGTCTTTGAAGCATTTTAATTTCTAAACTAAAGTATAAAGTAAAAAAATTGGACAGCTTTTAATAACAATTTATTATATATGTTTTTTTTAAATTAATTACAGAATGTATGTTTTTAATAAATTTAAAAAAATTGCCAATTAGGAAAGTTGAGCATTTGCTACACACTAGATCTTGTTAGTGAATAATATCTTATACATATTAAAATATAAAATTTACAACAATTAATAAATAGACATAAAATTTAGAAAAATAATAAATAGACATACGATTTGCAAAAAATAATAAATAAACGTTTCGGCCTTGAATATGGCCATTTTCAGAATTATATTAATACACCAAATATAATTTTGTAAATTATTTGCACTTAAAATTTGTCAGTTCAACTTTAATTAATATAATATTTAAATTTCTTGATGTCCTTAAGTCAAAAAGATTTTGAATTCTCTCTCTCTCTTAGTTCGTTACTTAATAACTTCGTTTAAGAGATAATTTCCACAATATGCGATCTTACTTGTCTAGTTAATTTATATCATTACTTTATAAAGTTATAGTTTCCAAACTAAAATATATACTACAGTTATAAAATTTTTTAATTATGGAGTCAATTCTTTAATAAAATTATAAAATTGTACAATAACATTACTATATTTTGAAATCTCGTATATAACGATGGAAGATATATTCTTGTTAAGTTATTATTGTCAATAATTGTACTCAAATGTTATTTTACGTTCTACCTTGTATAATATATATGCTATTATTAAGTAACGAACTAAGGATTCAAAATCTTTTTAACTTAAGGACATCAAGAAATTTAAATATTATATTAATTAAAGTTGAACTGATAAATTTAAATATTATGTTAATTAAAGTTGAACTGACAAATTTTAAACGCAAATAATTTACAAAATTGTATTTGGTGTATTAATGTAATACTGATGATGGCCATGTTCAAGGCCGAAACGTTTATTTATTATTTTTTGTAAATCGTATGTCTATTTATTATTTTTGTAAATTTTATGTCTATTTATTAATTTTTGTAAATTTTATATTTTAATGTATATAAGATATTATTCACTAACAAGATTTAGTGTGTGGCAAATGCTCAACCTTTCTAATTGTTTATTTTGAAGCCACGTATTCGATTACAAAAAAAATTACATTGCGAAGTTAATAAAAACAAATTAGTCGTAAAGTTAAAAAATATAGGTATGAGAAAAATGCGTACAGTTTTATTCTCAATGCTCTTTTTCTAATTTTTCTGTTTTCTCGTAATTGTTTTATCAAGTTGAATATGTAAAATAAACATTACCATATTCGGCTACATTATAAAAGCTGGGACACGTGAATCCGGCAATGCTGTACGTGTTTAAGATCTCACTCTTGGGACCGCAGTACATACATCTGCCTCGGTTGAGTACCATAATATTATCGAAGTGCGACATCATCTGACTACTGGGTTGATGTATCGCGCAAATTACAGTGCAATTTCTTCTCGTCATATCGTGTAGCATGCTAATAAGCTAATAAATGTAAATAATACATTGAAAGTTCATTAAGACTTAATGATGTATTGCAAAAGAAACGTTATAACATTTAATCTATTTTGCAACATTGCTGTAATATTGCTGAAGTGTTGCATTTGTATAAAATTATTAGTAAAATATAATGAAAAAATAAATATCAATTTATATCAGTTAATATCGAATAACTTGTAAAATAATTATTATTTATGTAGCTGCATATTAGTAATCTGTACTATACTTGATTAGAGGTCACACTGTCGAGACCGCTTGTTGGCTCGTCTAATAAGAGAACAGATGGCTTGGTGATCATTTCTACGCCGATGGAGAGTCTCTTCTGTTCGCCACCGCTTAGTTTATTTGCCAATGTGTTTAGACAAGATGACAAGCCGAGACTCTTTGTGATATCGTTCACCTGACAGAAATAATATCTGATGTAGGCAATGCATCAATTTACATAACTTTGCTTGCATAGCAAGCTATAAAGTATACTATAAAGAATGATGGAATATTAACTGTTACGTCTAACCTGATTATTTGATGAGAGAGACAAAGAGGGAAGATGGAGAGGGTATGGAAGGACGGTTGACTCAATCTCACAGGTATACGCACGGAAGCGTACAACTGTGAGTCGTTAGCATCCTTTTAAGTCCTGGAATGTGGGTCAACGTCCTGAAGGGACGCTATGACACCTGTTCCGATGGACAGTGAGAACGTCGGTTCTACTTTTTAGGTCAAGGAACTTAATCCTTTTGACCTGGGACTGAACCTCGTGCGATCTTAGGCGTTATAGGGAACGGAATACGAGTGGGGAGATTTAAAAATAAAATGCGACTTAGAGGAATCTTTAGTTAAAATTTACAACCTATTTATTCAAATAAACCTAAAACTAATTTACATAACTAACCTAGGTCTATTTACAGTAATCTTAAAATTTGTGAGTATGTGTGTGTAGCATTTTTTGTTGATAACAATATCGATGTGCGTGTGTATAATTGTAGAATGGATGAACTTATTTATGATGATGCGTGAGATGTTCGTTCGGCAAGAGAATTGATACATGATCGGTTGATCGCGAGGTTCAGCGTCTGCGCAAGAGCAGCCAATGATAACAGTCGGCGGCTGGGTGGTTTCGACGAAGCCCAAGAAGGACCCGAACACTCGAACAAGTATTGACAGCGCGTTATATTGTCGCGAACTACCGACGTGGATTCGGCTATTTTGAATTCTGATCTGACGCTCTGCGCTTCCGCGAGGCCTCTATTTATACCCCGAAAAAAGGGCGTAGTACCCTTTGTCTAGGATGCAATAGTTAGTTGCAATGTCGCTCGAGATTTACGATTTTTAGAACGTCTTATCGTTGTTAATCTAAAGTGCATTGTTAAAGGGGATTGTTAAAGATTATTTTCTTTCGAGAGAATCGGCTCCGCGTTGCGACTACGATTGGCGCCTGCGAGACGCGAGCAGGAGTCCTCTTATAAAAATTGAAAAAGAGACCATACAGGCTCCGCGAAAAACTCATAAAACGTCAATCAACCCGGAAAAAATAGCAACACTAATGTAGGCCTAAAAGGGACAAGATTGCGAAAAACATCATAAATGGACTTAAGTCACGCGATAATAAAAATTCAAGCTGTCGTCCGAGTTAACCAACAATTTCATCTTAAGAAAAACAGACGCCGCATCGCCATAAAAAAGCATAAAAAACATGAGATAACTTCTCACGGCTGTTTACTTAGCCATATTTTCCGTGAGGATGACGGAATTCGTCACTCGCTTGGAGCAATCTTGCCCCTTTTAGGGAAAACATAAATCATTTCTTTTGTTCTCTAAACCCCTTTAACAATGCACTTTAGATTAACAACGATAAGACGTTTTAAAAATCGTAAATCTCGAGCGACATTGCAACTAACTATTGCATCCTAGACAAAGGGTACTACGCCCTTTTTTCGGGGTATAAATAGAGGCCTCGCGGAAGCGCAGAGCGTCAGATCAGAATTCAAAATAGCCGAATCCACGTCGGTAGTTCGCGACAATATAACGCGCTGTCAATACTTGTTCGAGTGTTCGGGTCCTTCTTGGGCTTCGTCGTTAAATGTTAAAGAGGATGCGTCTGCAGGACGTAACATAACAATATACATATATAAAAATATGTAATAATTGTATATAGAGGAAAGTCCCATATTATGAGATACCGAGTTCATTTTGGGTAAATGCTAGAAGTATATGGGCAGAATTTAAAAAAATAATAGGTTATTTTGAAGGAAATTTTATAAGCTTTAAGATAATGTTACATAAAATTTAATTCAAATTTCATGTTTTTTGAAAATTAAAGAAATGTAAAAATTGAGTAAATCGCAAAGTCAAAAAATTGTGCTCCTAATATGAGATGCCCCGAGAAAGATAGTAAAATGCAAAGTATATCAGTATTGCAACTAAAAAACTTTATTTAATGTTTCTTAAATGTAAACAAACACAGCCAGGGTGCGCGAAAAATGAGTATGCGATAAATTATACCCAAAACTCGTCTTCAGATAATTGAAATCAAGAATCGCAGAAATAGGCACTCGACGTTCATTCCGGTCGTCCTTTTTATTATTGTGCAATAACATTTATACTTTATCAACGACTTTCACTATGACATGGGTGCATGGGTTATTTCATATTAAAAATACTCTGGGTATCTCTCTCATATCACGATTTCCACGCCTTACAGTTTTGCGATCATCAAATCTAACTTCTGTAATTAAGCAATTCAACATATCCTGTATTTTTCTATCAATACGACCTTATTCTATCACTACATGAAGAATTTATTGTCAAATATTTATTTATTAAATAATAAACAATGTTTAAAGGCTCAACTCAATAGAACTTGAAGATATCTAAATTCTAAAACCTTTTTGGTAAATATCAAGAAAAGGGGAGCCACCTCCGATGACCTTGACCTTGACATATGTTGTCAAGGTCGTGACCCTGAATGACCTCCACCAGATTTTAGGTGGCGGTCGCTGTCCGTTAAAAAGTTATGAACAAAAAA